TAGGCTCCACTACACTAAAGTTCATCATTTTGAAGTAACTTTGCTGTCTTGGATTTTCTTCATTTAAAAGCTGTTCAAAATACCTTTTTCCATTGATTCTTTATGCTACCGTATTAATTTAATATTGGGCGAACCTCACTTCCATTTTATTTTTGGTGCTTCTGTTCCTTGCCAATCTATACACTTTCCCCTTTCTCCTTCATTTGTTCTAAGTCGTTGCTTTTGCTTTTGTAGCTACATTCCTGGTCAATTTCTTTATAGCCATGTATTCTTCCAGGTCTCATTTGCTCCTACTTCTTTGTCAGAGTTTAAACATTTTTCTTTTACCATGCCTTGTACTTCTTCACTCCAAGTTTCTTGTTTAATACCCACAACTTGTTTTGAACTGTCCAATATATTTGTTGCCATAAACCCCCCACATTTATCCACTCCTTCTGCGTGTGGTGTCTAAGGAGTCACTTATGGAGAAGATGAAGTAAAATCCTCCTTAGCCTTACCTTCTAATTTTTGTCATCTTATCTTTGGTTTTACCTTCTTTGATTTTTCTCTGTACTTTTGTTCTAAGAGAAATATTTAGGTGGTCTATATTGACTCATAAGACTCTCTCCTGCCCTTGCAGTCTTTTATATCTTTTATTTTCTGCTGAGAAACAAGCAAGTAATCAATTTGGCTTCTAGTCCTTCCATTCTTGTAAGTAATAAGATGTTCATCTCTTTGTGTAAAGAATGGGTTGGATACTACTAGGTCATGAGCTTGTGCCATCTGGAATATGTTTTCTTTTGTCATATAATTTTCAATAGCCCAGCCATATTCCTCCTTCCCATCCCAACAAGGTTTGCCCCAGCTTGGTGTGTGTGTGTGTGTGTGTGTGTGTGTGTGTGTGTATCAGGTTGTATGTGTATATATCATATGTATTATATAAACAGATGTTAATTACTGTTAATTACCTACTCCTACACAGACACGCACACATACTTTTCCATAGAGCCAGATGTGTGACCATCTGATGCTGCAGGCTCCTCTCTCTCTTCTCTTATGGAAGTTTGCAGTCTGTGACTGATGCCAGCATCAGGCTCTATGAAAGTTTATTTATGTTTCATTAATGTAGCTCAAACACATTAAACTACACTAGCAGGATCATAATTTAATATAAGTGCAAAGTGCTAATGCAATAATGTATGCATATTGGATTAGGAAATGAAAGCCGTTACAAGTCATTTTAGTTCATTTGTAACAATGCTGGAGACTGAAATACTGATATGGCATGAACAACTGAAAGAGAGATTTGGGGGTTTAGTGAAATTTCGCAAATCTCACCCCAGGAATGCTGTGGGGAAGCAGTACAAAGAAGGCTGGAAGCTTGATACTACAATCCTTTCCTAAGATACCTTACACAGCAACATGGTTGCTTTCTATGGGGATTTCCACACCACCTTTCCTTGACCTTTTCTAAACTACATTGATGTAGCTATGAATGGACATGTGCAAGAGCCTTCACTTACCTTGTACGTTGGCCAGCATCCTCATTCTCTCTCTCTCTCGCTCGCTTTTATATACATCTTCCTTTCCACCTTCAGATTTTTTTCCCTTGTAAAGGCTTCACTGGAGACTCCTATTTTCTGGATCATCTACAGGCTTCAGTTTGTTGCTGCCTCCTTTGAGGGCTTGCTCAGGTCATTCTGGGATACTTGGTTGGCTATATAAAGCCAAAGCTTCCCACAAACTTTATTACAGCAGTAGATGGGGACAGAGTTACATCACCGAGAACCTACCTGAATGAATGTAGGCATCTGCCTGCAATATGAACGTCTATTGCTGAAACCTTAGGGTTGCTTTGAAGCACAAAAAAAGAGAGGTTTCTTTAAAACATGTATTTTTTTCTGAGTTTTTTTTCCTCTTTCCTTTTAAATGAAACTAGCCGTGTTAGATAAAAATATCCAAGCTTTATGTCTCCCATCCTTCACCACCAAAAAAACCCAATAAGGAATTCTGTACAACTAAGGACATAGATTCAGTTGCTTGGATTTCATTGTCATTTAATGAAATTCCTTTGGAAACTGTGAATTCTAGTAGTCTTCCTCCAGTCTTATTTCTCCTTCCCATCCCATCCCATCCCATCCCAAGGAGGTTTGTCTCAGCGTGGCCCTTAGTGACAGATATTGCTGGGTGAATGATTCAGAGTGAATCACTTATTCAAAAAATTTAGTCCTTTTTATTTTTCTATGCCAATAATTATCCCTGGATGGGCTTTTATTTTTGCTAATATTTTGTTATTAAAAACTGTTAGACAAAACCTTCATGACCAGAATTTTCTGAGGGGCTCATGACCCACAACTGAGATCAGATTTTCCAAAGTGCTCAGCACTCTGCTACACCCATTGTTCTCTGTGGATGCTCATGGGTGCTGTGTTGTTTTGGAAATCTGGCCCCAATTTTGGCTGCTGAGTCATTCTGAAAGTCTGACCCTGTGTGACCAGATATAGGTTGTTTGTGAAATATTTGCTATTTATTAGTTGTGTTGTGTGATTAATCACTGAAGGTCACAAGGCATTTTTTCATGTTCCCTGGTTGGATGATTGAAACTCTTATAGCCTGGGGTAAGGAAATCCAAAGAGATTCCTAGGTGGCTATGTGAACCTTTCTGGAATAAACTTTTGTGTAAATACATTTACGCAAATATTCACCAGATGTTCACTTTCTTCAAACATTTTTGAGGAAAAATAAACTCTTACAAATATGCATGAAAGGTAAATACAAAGATCCACAAACTATATTGTCAGAGTGAATTGGTGAACAGATGTTCATAAACTTTTTTCAGCTTTCTCTTAGCCCCAGTGACAAGACATTGGGCCCTGCTTATTGACAATATTCTGCCACATTTACCATTGAGTAGAGAGGCTTACAGACAGTAATCTACTACTCAGTAAGGGGGGCAGACTTGAGCACTTGGGTACGTCTACACAGCAATTAAATACATGCGACTGGCCTGGCTCGGCTGACTTGGGCTTACAGGGCTCGGGCTGTGGGGCTATAGAACTGCTGCGTAGACATTCAGGCTTGGGCTGGAGCCTGAGTTCTGGGACCCCATGAGTGGGAGGACCCCAGAGCCCAGGCTCCAGCCCAAACGTCTACAGTGTGATTTATAGCCCTGCAGCCCAAGCCCAAGTCAGCTGACTCAGGACAGCCACGGCTGTGCTGCCGGTCTTTTATTCCAGTGTAGGTGTACTTTTTCCGAAGGGAGTGTCTTTTTACCCCATCTACTTCCTAAGTCCAATAGCTGTTTTCCAATCTGGGTAACACATTTTTTAGAAACTCTCTCACTGATTTCCTAAATTATGATCCTTATATAATAGAACCTCGCCAGAGTGCATTTTATAAATCTCACACAAACTAAAGCAGGCTCTCCGTCCTCTGTGATAATATCAGTGGAGGAGCGCTGTAATGAAGTCTCATATTACAAAATACTTCATTATTGTTACAAAATATGCTACAACATTATTTAATAGTATGCTGTGAAAAGTATTTGTCAAATAAATGAACAAAATCAATTTTTGAAGCCTTCCTTTTAAAATGTTGTTCAGCTTACTAATTTACAAAAAGCAATATTTTTCAATTGCTCTCCTAGTCATGAGTGTGAATTAGCACAGTGCTATTATGATTGGCTCAGTTCTGCCATTTTACTTTCTTTCCAACTCATAGCCCATGCTTATAGCATCCACTGGATGAGCAAATCACTGCATGTTGATGAACACTATTTTCATACAAATTGAATGAATGAGTTGTGTTGCATGTTGTGATAAATAAAGGGGGGGATAGCTCCCTTTGATGGACACCCAGCCAGTTAGCTGTAAAATCCCTCTTGGTAGCTGTTCTTTACCTGCTTTATCTGTAAAGGGTTAAGCAAAAGCCTAAATTCCAAATGCATTTTCTTTCTTTTTGTTTTTAATAAAATTTACCTTTCTTAAGAACAGAATTGGATTTTTGGTGTCCTAAGAGGTTTGTGCATGTTTGATTAGCTGGTAGCCGCAGCTAATTTCCTTTGTTTTCTTTCTTAGCTCTTCCCCGGATGGGGGACGAAAGGGCTTGAGGGTATCCCACAGGGAGGAATTCCCAAGTGCTCCTTCCTGGGTTCAAAGGGTTTTGTTTGCCTTTCGGTGGTGGCAGCGTTTACCAAGCCAAGGTCAGAGAAAAGCTGTAACTTTGGGAGTGTAATACAAGCCTGGAGTGGCCAGTATTAATTTTTAAAATCCTTGCGGGCCCCACTTCTGCCATTGGAGTGACAGAGTTGGGATTCAGCCTTGACAGGAATATATTTGGAATTTAGGCTTTTGCTAGATTTTAAAAGAGCAATTTCAAAAATCAAGCGCCCTAAAATAGCTTTCTTGGGGGTTCAACTTAAAGGTTACAAGCAAACAAAGGCATCTGGGGTTAGCACAGAGGAGTTCACAAGCCAATAAGAAATAAAAGAAATAACCCTAATCACGTCTTGCTAAACATTCTGATCTACTTAAACATTTGGAGTTAGGATAAGTAGTTCTAGGCATGATCTGATAATTTATGTTCATACCTGGCTTAAGCTGTTTATAGCACGGCTGCTCTGTCCCTCTAGCCCAGAGAACAACAGACAAAGGGAAAGTTTCTTTCCCAATTTTAAAAAGTTCTACCTTCCCATTGGCTCTTTTGGTCAGGTGCCCACTGTTTTTTCTTTACCTGGGGGGACTTTTTAACCCTTTACAGGTAAAGCAAGTAAAGAACAGCTACCAAGAGGGATTTTACAGCTAAGAGGCTGGCTGGGTGTCCATTAAAGGGAGCTGTCCCCCCCTTTATTTATCACACATGGTTGTTTTTTTTAAAGATAATATTTGAAAAGCAAAGCATTAGAAGTTTTCCAATGGGGTTCTTAGGATAGCAAATCACATCTAAAATTATTCATAACAGATTTCTTCTAAAAATACATCCGTATTAAAAATGAATAAAATGGTATGCTGTAAACTTACACAAGCAAACTGATACAGAGAAACCGGGGGAACAAATTCATTCTGCTTAAGGCCAAATTCTGCTCTCAGATGTGCATGAATATGTCTCGCTGAAGACAATATGTGCTGCACGGATCCAAGGACAGAATTTAGCTTAGGAGTGCTGGAACAATTTTTATAGTGGAGGTGCTGAGAGCCATTGAACTGAACTGTAAACTTGTATAAAATGGAAACCCCTTGGGCTTGAACCCTACAAATTTAATTTTATGATTAACAAAAAGGCTGGGAAATTAAATACCGGAGCATCTTGCATTACTTCAATGTCTTTTTTTGAAAAACACCATTGTTGATACAGAAATTCAGTCAAATAATTAGCAAGGAATCTATATACGTGGAATTGACTTCAAGACTAAACACACACACACAATTTACTTTTAAGTTAGCGGTCATTAAATGCTACCATCAAGATAAGGGAAGACCAGAAACGAATCAACTATAGAATTACAGAAATATATCTTAACAGAAATTTTTTCTCATACAACTAATTAATATAACTTATCCACTCATCCTGCTATCTTTATTTGTATAATGTCTTGCATATTTCTGGTTAAATCCCTGCTCAGTAATTGCTCAGGTTTGAGGGGACATGCTTGTATAATAAAATAACTGGGCCTAAAACTGACAGTATTCAGTAACAAATTTCCTGGCATATGCTTTTCTAAGTACTATTACAGATTCTCAAACAATTAAGAAGTCAGCTCACTCAAATAAGGGTATCTGGATACAATATACTGTACAATTTTGCCAAGAATCTCTATGGGTTCAATTAATTGTTTTGCATTTAAGAAAGATAAGCGAATGAATTATGATATGCATACCAGCATGTCAGCAGTGTTTAAATAAGCATATGCACACTATCGTACAGAAACCACAGATGGATATGCCAAAACCTCCTTTTAGTCTGATGGAATAAATTGTGTCTGCTGGAATTTGATAAGTACCATTCCCAGTGAAATACTGGCAGCCTCTGAGACTTTGTGGACCAGATCTTTAGCTGATGTTAATTATTGTAGCTGGTGTTAACTGACTTCAGTGGCAGTATGGCGATTTATACCAGCTAGGATCTGGCTCCCTATAATTATTTCACAATAGAAATACAATCTTTTCAGTTTTAAAATAAAAGGGGAACATCTATTTTTGGACGTAACAATGATAAACCTTATAATACCAATTTGTTTAGTGGAATCTAATAGCAGGAAAATCTCCATGTTTCTTTTCAGTTGTGAGACTTAAAATCCTTAACATCATAGGATTTATTTGTCATTGGGGTTCCTTTAGTCTTAGAATGTAATTGTCTGATGGCAATGAACATACAGTATCCAGAGGAGGGATGATTAAAACTCGGAACCATCTGACCTTAAAGTACACGTGACAAACTAAGGGGAGGAAGACAAGCATCTACGGAACCAATTTTTCTATGTGACTAGGTTCTTTGTAGTCCAGTAATGGGGAACAGCACACACAGACACAAGCAAATGGGTCACATACTCACCCCATATCTTGAGCACAACAGAATATCAGGAAGTCAGAGGAGCTCAGTCTAAGACCACGGCACCATCAATCTGTAATGATTCAAGCCTATATACAGTTCACACACACAGAAACTAAAATACCAGCAGGAAGTATCTGATTACAGACTCAGGACACCTATTCCCCAAGGCTTGGGCCTCTACCCGGTAAGCTAACAGAGCTTTTCCATTAGCTTAGCTGGTAGAAAAAGCTGTCATGAGTGAGTAAGCTCCATCATATTGCACCATAAGTCAATGACACATGCATATCTCATTCCATGATACACCTTGCATCTGTTCCTTGTTGCGATAGCTTCTATCTTTCCCCAAATATTTCCTCCTTTAAAGGAAAAACAAAACAGTTTTGAAAAGGCTGTTTATCTTCTCCTCTTGACATTTTTTTAAAAAAAATAAACCAATATTCATATTTTATGCATTAAAACTAGAGATGAGCCTGAACCAAAAGTCTGGATCCAAACTGCTTCAACCTCTGTGAATGTTTGGATCCAAATCCAAGTTTCAGTCTGTCTCTCTTTAGTCCTATCCTGGGCTGAAGTAAAATCGTGGATCAGAGCACTCCTAGATTTTGAAGAAGTCTGGATCCAAATCTGGATTTGAATTTTGGTTGGGCTCACCTTTATTTAAAATGTACATCCTTATAGCCATCTCTCTGAGTTGCACTATTGGAATAGGAAAAGTCAATTACAGTAATAATACGTTGCTCTTCAATAGTGTATCTCATTTGAAGATCTCAATGCACTGTGCAAACAGTGTAATGTTAGGAATAAAAGGGTTTTAAACCCTCTTAAAACAGATCACAAGACTTCACTGCAGCCCTTACCATATACAGTATGAAATCCATGCTAAAGCCAAGCAATAATCAATTAACAACATCCTGGGCCAAGTTCATTCCTGGTGTAACCCCAGTGGATTGTGTAGAGTTACACTAGGAATGAATTTCAGCCTCCTGTGTTTGTGTTTCATACCAATTAATCAAAAGAAAAAAACAGCATGTAAATATTTTTAACACTTGCATTAGCATCATAATGGCTCCCCTCTTCAGAACTGATACCATGCCAGCGTTAAGCAGTATCATTACATTGGACACCTCCACTGACGTTACATTAGCTCCTTTCTAGCTAACACGTTAATAGAAGTTCATTGCTACCGTTATTGTGCTAGCTGATATCTAGGAAATACTTCAAGTCTGTTCTTAATGTACAGGCTCTTCAGGGGATGCTTTTCAATCTTTGACTACCTTGCGAGTTTCTGATCAATACATAAAAGATGGGCTAAGTTTTACATACTTATTTGATGTCATAATAAGACCCTGGCATTAAAATAATGTAGATACTTGCAAAATTCAAACTGTCAGCCTGGGGCAGGGGAGGGGACTACAGACTTTAGAGAGAGAAACAGGAGAAGAGGGAGAAAATGCAGGTAAAGATTTGTCTTTAACCATATATAATACAAAATGATGTACTGGTACCTGCCATATGTACATATGCAGGGCTGTGGTTCTCTTTCAGGGTTCAGGAGACAACCTGAGCTTTGCTTTAAGGGTGTGTGATGTCAACAGAATCCCCCAAAAGCATTACAGTTAAATTAACGTACAGTAATTATTGCAGTAATATGGACACTAACTGATTAGCTTTTGCAAAAGATGAGTTGTCCAAAGTAACTTAAAGTTCTTTGCTAAAATCCACACTGTTAAACCTGTGCTACCTACTGCACAGTTGGGAATATATTCTTTAAATTTTAATGCCAAGACACACCAGCCTGTGGTATTAAGTGCCTGCAAAACGTCATCACTGGAAATTAACACTTTTAAAATAACAAACCTTTTTTTGACAACTCTAGAAGTAATAATTTAAAAAACCTAGCTTAATCAGTTTTAAGGTTCTTTCTCCTCCAACCCCTCCAAGGAGAAAGTATGCATCTGGCCTGGGAACTGGCTTGGCCCACATTCTATTCCCAGGGGACTTATGCTGCTGAGTGATAAACCCTGATGATTGAGGTTTATAGCTAAAATAACTATCCAGCCCTTAACCCCAAACATTACAATAAACAACAAATAAATAGGAGAGAGATTTGTGATTCATGGTTAAAAAGGACAAATCAAAGGTTCTCCTCATTTCCATTTTCTTTCCCTGAAATATACTTGATCATGGAATAACTTAACTGCTTTTCTAGCATCTACTAACACAGGCTTGAGTACTTGTTAACATAGAGCATTATTTCCTTTAAATGATGCCTGAGCAAATACAAAAATAGAAAGATGACCTTGCCCTTACTATTACCATTATAAAAAAAACCTGTTTTAGATTTCTCAGAACTTTAAATGTTAGTTGGCTGTTTGTAATTCAGGCGACTGGTGAAGCTGCATTGTACAAAAATCTCTTTCATGGGGTAGAGGCAGACAATACAGTGTTGGATGCTGGGAGGAAAATGAACATTTAATATACTTGCACACATAACCTTATATAAAAGGTTGCATGAGGGACAAGAATGAGAACTAAGAAGCCTATTAAAACCCATACTCTTTTCCAGGCTGCTGATGAGTACTGAAGAATTGGTGTGATTAAATTAATCTGAATTTCAGTCTTTTCTTTCCTTTTATTATACAACTGCTTTTGCTAATATCCCAGGTGACTGAACTAACAGATTAATTCACTAACTAGCCAGATGTAATCGACTTTTATTAATAAAACACGGTAGTAATTTGCAATAATTGTCCAAAACTTTGCAGCTTACTAAAAATGTTACTGCAGTATTTTGGACCAATACAAAAGCATTTTTTAGGAGAGATTGCATGTCGTTGTTCCTTAAATAACTCATTAAACTAACTATACTTCTGGAAAATGTAATTCTGGGAATGAATCTGAATACTTTTCAGAACAAAAAGGCATTTTCAATTAATTGTGTTAGCAATTCCTGTACTCCATAAGATCAGCAATGTCATGGTAATGATAATACCTAGTCCAGTACAGCTTCCCTGTGCAAATCACACAGGTAAATGCAAACGAGGGCTGTCAATTAATTGCAATTATCTCACAAAAATTAATCATGATTAAAAAAAATTAATTGCGATTAATCACAGTTTTAATCACACTGTTAAACAATAGAATACCAATTGAAATTTATTAAATATTTTGGTTGTTTTTCTACATTTTCATATATATTGTATTCTGTGTTGTAATTGAAATCAAAGTGTATTTTTATTACAAATATTTGCACTGTAAAAATGATAAACAAAGCAAATTGTACTTTTCAATTCACCTCACACAAGTACTGTAGTGCAATCTCTTTGTTGTGAAAGTGAAACTTACAAATGTAGATTTTTTTGTTACATAACTGCACTCAAAAAGAAACAAATGTAAAACTTTAGAGCCTACAAGTCCACTCAGTACTACTACTTGTTCAGCTAATCACTAAGACAAACAAGTTTTTTTTACATTTACAGGAGATAATGCTGTCCTCTTCTTATTTACAATGTCACCAGAAAGTGAGAACTGCCATTTGCATGGCACTTTTGTAGCCAGCATTGCAAGGTATTTATGTGCCAGATATGCTAAATATTCGTTCGCCACTTCATGCTTTGGCCACCATTCCAAAGGACATGCTTTCATTCTGATGATGCTTAAAAAAAATAATGCATTAATTAAGTTTGTGACTGAACTCCTTGGGGGAGAACTGCATGTCCCCTGCTCTGTTTTACCTGCATTCTGCCATATATTTCATGTTATAGTAGTCTTGGATGATGACCCAGCACATGTTCATTTTAAGAACACTTTCACAGCAGATTTGACAAAATGTGAGATTTCTAAAGATAGCTACGGTATTCAACCTAAGGTTTAAAAATGTGAAGTGCCTTCCAAAATCTGAGAGGGATGGGTGTGGAGCATGCTTTCAGAAATCTTAAAAGAGCAACACACTGATACGGAAACTACAGAACCTGAACCATCAAAAAAGAAAAATCAACCTTCTGCTGGTGGCATCCGACTCAGATAATGAAAATGAACAAGCATTGGTCCACACTGCTTTGGATTGTTATCAAGCAGAACCCGTCCTCAACATGGACGCATGTCCCCTGCCCTGGAATGATGGTTGAAGCATGAAGGGACATATGAATCTTTAGCGCATCTGGTATGTAAATATTTTGCAATTCCAGCTACAACAGTGTCATGTGAATGCCAGTTCTCAATTTCTGATGATATTGTAAACAAGAAGCGGGCAGCATTATCGCCTGTAAATGTAAACAAACTTGTTTGTCTTAGCAATTGGCTGAAAAAGAAGTAGGACTGAGTGGACTTGTAGGCTCTAAAGCTTTACATGGTTTCATTTTTGAGTGCAGTTTTTTTGTACATAATTCTACATTTGTAAATTCAACTTTCATGATAAAGAGATTTCACTACAGTACTTGTATTAGGTGAATTGAAAAATACTATTGCTTTTGTTTTTTTACAGGGCAAATACTTATAAAGTGAGCACTGTACACTTTGTATTCTGTGTTGTAATTAAAATCAATAAATTTGAAAATGTAGAAATCATCCAAAATATTTAATGGTATTCTATTATTGTTTAACAGTGCTATTAATCCATGATTAATCACGATTAATTTTTTAAATCGCTTGACAGCCCTAATGCAAATGTAATTGTTAATCACTTAGTTTTGTGAGGAAGTGGTCAATAATATAGACACCAACTGATTAGCTTTTGCAAAAGATGAACGAACTTAGTTATCTGCTAAAATCCACACTGTTAAAATAGGTTTCAGAGTAGCAGCCGTGTTAGTCTGTATCTGCAAAAAGAAAAGGAGTACTTGTGGCACCTTAGAGACTAACACATTTATTTGAGCATAAGCTTTCGTGAGCTACAGCTAGCTCATGAAAGCTTATGCTCAAATAAATGTGTTAGTCTCTAAGGTGCCACAAGTCCTCCTTTTCTTTTTACTGTTAAAATAATGAGTGAAATCCTGGCTCCACTGAAGTTAATGGGAGTTGGACCCAATATCTGTTTAACTAGTGCAGCAAATACAGTTTTATACCCTTCTACCTAGGATATTTACAAAGTGACAGTCTCTGTAGTATTAAAGATTATGTTCTATTCTAGGTTACGTGCCACTGAAATTGCTTTTTTTGAAGCTACATTTACGTTTGGAAATTAATCCTTTCCAGACCACCACACACTTCAGTTGTGCAAGCAGAGACTGCTATCCTGAGCAGGCAGTGCATCTCCTATTTCTAGCCACAGATACTGCAATTTCCAAGTACTTATAAAATGTTTCCTGCTAGTAGGGTGTCACAGGAGAATCTGTCCTTAGTGTTAAACACAATCTTGCTGCTGTAATAACTGCTTTGCCCTCATCTACTGAGCCTCATTTGCAATTGGTTTTACAACCAAACTTACTTTTCTTTCTTTCTTACTTTTCTGAGCTACAGGTAACCTAAGGTAAGATAGTATCCACAAAAACAATAAGGAGTCTGGTGGCACCTTAAAGACTAACAGATTTATTTGAGCATAAGCTTTTGTGGGTAAAAACCTCACTTCTTCAGATGCAAGTGAAGAAGTGAGGTTTTTACCGACGAAAGCTTATGCTCAAATAAATCTGTTAGTCTTTAAGGTGCCACCGGACTCCTTGTTGTTTTTCTAAGGTAAGATGTATCTCTCCTCTGGAATCTGATCCAGATCCCACTGGCCACTGGAGAGGCCAGCTGTGTATGCTGGTAGTAGACTGCTATGCTGATCTTAAGCCAGCAGAAAAGGGCTAAGGAGAACTGATCCTGCAGACTTCAAGACTTTTGCTGTTTGCTGTTTTGCCCTTATAAAAAGGTCAAAATACAGGTTAAAATAAAGGTTAAAAATACAACAAATAGCCTTAAATCACTGAACTATGAAACACCTTGTGCTCAATGCTTTGGGCTGCGTTAACGTGTGATCGCTATTTTCTTGTACAAGGATGAGCTCAGATGAACACTTATTACCTTAATGCACCCCTGGCAGGGCCACCACGACTGGAGCCTCTATCTGTTAGTTAAATAAGGATCCCAAGGTTGATTAAACTGTATGTGATGCAAATAAGACCGTGTCTCCTTTAAAAAGCTACTGTGCAAGCAAGTGGCTTTCTCCATGATTATTCAAATAGTTCTAATCTGTGTTTTTTGCCCTGATAAGTCAGATAACAGCCTTGCCGATTACTCTTGACTACGGTACCCGATTGTGGTGACATTGAGGCTGACCTTGGAGTCACCTCCCCCGCTGCCGCACTCTCCTTTGTCGTACCACCATTTGTTTTTCAATTTGTCCAAGAGGCCTTGCTCATTCAGTTTTAATACTGCCAGGTTAACAGCATTTCTTGAAACGATAAAACATAACTCGTAAGAAAATGCACAAATGCTTAAGAAATCGTAACGTATGAAAAAAGGAGCACAAGAGGACAAATTGGCTAAATTTCACAGACCGTGGAGCTATAAAAATGTTTCTACAGCAAATACAGGGTTCAATATTGGAAGGTGGCATGGAGGATAACATTTGCTCAGAACTGAAGTGTGCGGGATGGGGAAATTGTCTTTGAGGAAAAAAAGTAACAAGAACACCACATCATGCAATTAACATTCGTCACATATGGCAGTTTAACCCGGCTTTTACCATTTAAATTGAAAAAGCCACTGAACTGTAAAATTAAAACAGCAACAAACAATCAGAAAGGACAACACAGAGAGAACATTAAAAAATGGATGCATTAAGTAAATGAAACCATAATTTACCGTCTTATTTTACTCCATGGAATATTGAAGATTTTAAACTTTAAAGTTACCTCAAAATCCACAAGAAAGAAAATGACAACACAATACATCAGGGTAGGTGGAATACTATAACAACATATATATTGTTATATTATTCCACCCACCTTAATGCTGAGCCTTTTGGAGTTGCTACACCATAGCCTTTGGAATCCAGGTTCCCACCAACTTTCATTGTGTCACATGGCTTTCGCTGCTCGATATACTCGTTCATGGTCGATTCAAGGAGGAAGGCAAACTTTCCCTTTGACTTCCGCACTCTAGCGACCCCGTCAGCTGTTGTTTTGGTAAATACAGATGGCTCTGCTGACTTCATATACGACCACATTTTCTCATAGACCGCTATTTTCGACCTCTGAGAAAAATAACAGAAAGCAGAGAAAGAAATTTTTTATTAAGTATGCACACTGCACAGTATGTAAGTGTTGTGCTGTCAAAGTCTACATAATACAGATTAGGTTGCAACTGACTGAAGATAACTCAGTAACTATGGTTTTGTGGACAGTAACCAGCACAAAGGGGCACTGAACTGGTGAGCTTCGAGCTGCTAACACACTATATATGGTGAATAATAATAAATGCAACAGGTGAAGTTAGCTAATGGAGAACAGTACTGGTCCCTAAACAATTACCAGGCACAGCAAGAAGTTAAGGAAAAAAGTGGTAGGCAAGAGAGAAATGTAGCTGAGACATTTCTCTTGCTAACTGACATTTAATTGGCAGTTTAACATTCAAAATGAAAAACAGTGCATTTCATCCCAGTCCCTTGATCTTTCTGCTTGTATGCGTGCTGCTGTAAGATCGAACCAGATAAAAAATATTAAATCCTAGCTCATCTCTTATGGCTAATACATGAAAATGAAGGTCCTCTACTTTTCCACACAAATCATTGCTATCAGTTTACTTCATTCCATAACACACCACTGGTGAACCACAGACACTTGCTTATTAAAGGATTTGCTTCTCATAGTGGTGATGTAAGGTTTAGAACTGCAGCCAAGAGACGACAATAGCTCTACTGGGCTATTAAAAGATGAGGATACCCATCTGGGAGATATGTTCAGTGATTACAAAGACTTTATTAAACATTGATCAACTTTCTTTGTTCAGATCGTTTCAAATTTTGCTGAAAAATAACAAGCATGCTAGTAAGAAGCTGACAACCTACATTACACTCTCTCGCTCTCATTAAAGTGAAGAGCTCAATGGACAACAGGCTATTTTATTATAACCAGCTGCTGGTTATGCATTTTTTAAGTGCATGTTGATTTGTTCAGTTTGGAGATAGCCAAATATAATGATCCCGGCTCTAAGACACATGCTTAGTAACTTAGGGAGGCTGAACAACTTTTAAAACAGCAAGTTGGTGTGTTATTTCTCCTTTCTGTTCGCTCTTCGTGTCGCAACCTTAGATGGCAGAAAACTCCGTGCTAGGGAATCTCCTCATCCTACCCTCCACACATTACAATAAACCATCTTAATGTACCGAGAGTGACACCATTAGTATACTGCACCATCACTTAATGTTCCCCCTCTCTGTCCCGCACAATGTGGTAATGCCTGGTTAATTACTTCAAACTCCGGATTTATACAAAACTTTCAGTCTAAGCCATCTAACTTTGTCACATTCCTTGTCAACCCTTATCTGGAATCACTAAAGCTATTACAGTAGGTGCCACACACAGTGGTTAAGGTCAGTGCAACTATTGTGAATTTTTTTCAGAGTGATAGCCGTGTTAGTCTGTATCAACAACAACAACAAAAAAAAAAAACGAGGAGTACTTGTGGCACCTTAGAGACTAAAAAATTTATTTGAGTGTAAGCTTTCGTGGGCTAAAACCCACTTTATCCGATGCATTCGGTGGAAAATACAGTAGGAAGACTACTCCAGGATAGGCCTAACAAAGAAAATAACAGAACGCCACTAGCCATCACCTTCAGGACCCAAATTAAACCTCTCCAGCGCATCATCAGGGATCTACAACCTATCCTGAAGGATGATCCCTCACTCTCGCAGACCTTGTGAGACAGGCCAGTCCTCGCTTACAGACAGCCCCCCAACCTGAAGCAAATACTCACCAGCAACCACACACCACACAACAGAACACTAACCCAGGAACCTATCCTTGCAACAAAGCCCGTTGCCAGCTCTGTCCACTTATCTATTCAAGGGACACCATCATAGGACCTAATCACATCAGCCATACCATAAGAGGCTCGTTCACCTGCACATCTACCAATGTGATATATGCCATCATGTGCCAGCAATGCCCCTCTGCTATGTACATTGACCAAACCGGACAATCTCTACGCAAAAGAATAAATAGACACACATCAGACATCAAGAATTATAACATTCAAAAACCAGTCAGAGAACACTTCAACCTCCCTGGTCACTCAATTTCAGACCTAAAAGTTGCAATTCTCCAACAAAAAAACTTCAAAAACAGACTCCAACGAGAGACTGCAGAATTGGAATTAATTTGCAAAGTGGACACCATTAAATTAGGCTTGAATAAAGACTGGGAGTGGATGGGTCATTACACAAAGTAAAAACTATTTCTCCATGCTAATTCCGCCGCCCCCACTGTTACTCTCACCTTGTTGTCAACTGTTTGAAATGGGCTATCCTGATTATCAATACAAAAGGTTTTTTTTTCTCCTGCTGATAATAGCCCACCTTAATTAATTGGTCTCATTACAGTTGGTATAGCAACACCCATTTTTTCATGTTCTCTGTGTATATATATCTTTCTACTGTATTTTCCACTGCATGCATCTGATGAAGTGGGTTTTAGCCCATGAAAGCTGATGCTCAAATAAATTTGTTAGTCTCTAAGGTGCCACAAGTACTCCTCATTTTTTCTGTTGTGAACTTGTAGCAGAAGACTCTTCATTCGGATCAGCTGGAGCTCAAGACATGCTTTTTTTCTTTTCCTTCAGGACAATTCAGTGTGCTTTGGATAATACAGTGACTAACAACTACTGTGTAAACATTTTATAGATAGGAAATCTTGCCTTCATTCCTTGTATTAAAATCCTGATGTAGCTGTGATTGATAGAGAGGAGTATAGGGCCAGGCTTTTATTATAACTATTTCTCCTAGTGAGCTGAAAACCAATTGAAAATACAATGCAGTTAAAACCATCATGATACACAACAGAACATCAGAGAGAAGGCAGAATAGTGTGCCTTCATTAAGAGGTAGGTTGGACACCATACAGTAGTCAAGAGATTAAAAATGAAAATATTCATTGGAGAAAAATAGCTTTTTCAGATGCTTTTTAAAGGGTGAGGCATGAACTGCAGAGGTAGCTGTCTATGGAAGTGGGGTGGTGAAATAAACTCCACATGCGAGGGGGGGAAGGGGCTAGGGTATTAGTCTTGGACTTGGGAGACCTGGGTCTGATTCCCATTATCACAAGTTTCAGAGTAGCAGCCGTGTTAGTCTGTATTCGCAAAAAGAAAAGGAGTACTTGTGGCTAAAATTTGTTAGTCTCTAAGGTGCCACAAGTACTCCTTTTCTTTTTGCTTTATCACAGACTTCCTGTGTGACCTTGGGCATATCACATAGTTTTTCTGTGCCGCAGTACCCTACTTCTGTAACATGGGGATAACACTGCCCTACCTTTCAGGGGTGCTGTGGTGATAAATACCTCGGAGGTGCTCAGATAGGGGAGCCGTATAAGTACCTAGGAGAGACAGGTAAAAGCATGGCTGCCCACTTTTATAATATATCAGCTTGGTCAAGTTTATATTTACTCTATCCAGCATCTTTCTACCAAAGTATCCTGACATATTTTAGCAAGTTTAAACTGACACTCAAAGTATATGCAGAAATCCCTTTATCCACTATTCAAACACGGCCACCTGTGGGTTAAAACATGGCAGATGTTTAACAAAACACAGCACCACAATGTAATGGGTTAGGCCAGGAATGTAATGACTTTAGTGAGAATTTGACCTTGACCATGCGGTTTAAGCTCCTACTGAAGTTCTGTGAACTTTTTCAGGACCAGAACCTACTTTTATATAAAAAAGGGCAATTCCAGAAGCTATAATGCCAAGCTGGGGCATTGGTTACATACTAACTTAGAGCAAATTGTCATGCACTAAATTGCCAACCTAGCTTTATGCAGCAACAGAGCTTCCTTGGAGGTTTCCTATCAAAGAAATAATTGCGTGAAGGAAAGTCTAGAATACGAGTCTTTAGATCCGTTTTATACCTTTCATCTCCGGCAGACTTTTTCAGCCCACCTTACATCTCAGAAGCTGCCCAGAGCACAATCCCTGCACTTGTGATGACTATAATATACACCCAGAGATGCTGCTGGTGGATGTATAAATAGCATTGTCCTGCCCATGCCTCCTCCCCTAGAGAACTACCCTCTGTAGCAGCATTCCCTCTCCCTCTGAACCCCACAGAGGGTGCTTCACACAGGTGAGGGATACATGGGGATGAGGAGAAGGAAGGAGAAGATGGGCAGAGCTAAGATTAGATATGTAATACAACCAGAAATTGTCATACTTTTGTATGGACCTCCCTACTTGAAGAAAAACCTCCCTTAGGGGAGTATTTCCTTTTCCAGGCTAGTAAGGGAAGCGTTAACTAAACCTTCCTCTTGAGCCCATTAACAAGATGTGAGCTCATAGACGGATTAGACAACCCTGGTGCATTACAAAATGTAGGTTTCGTTACTTTAATTTTGAACTGGGTCTTAGTGACTCTTTTGCAGCTTCAAAGCTCTGTGCAAAACTTCAGAAGACCGATTATGTTGCCTTTGTTGACTAGGTAATCTCAGAATTTAGGTGACATCTTTCTGTTGCTAGTCTTGACTAAGTGCTTTGTGGGGCGCAGTACATCTCACACCTGCACAGGGGCTATCAAGGCACAGCTGTGCCTTGCACACAGGATAGGAAATAGCTGAGTTGGAGAAGCTGGTTTATTAGGTAGTGGCAGGAGCTGGAGTTGTTACTGTTGCCTGTATCAAAGCCAAACAAGCTTTATGGAATCCGAATCCTAGAGAGAATTAGCTTAGCAGCCCTGTGCCCCAAGGCAGCACACAGGAGTGGAATGCACAAGCAAGCTTCTGAAAGACCAGAGCAAGATCAGACAAATAATAACGTATGCTTTATACATAGTTCTGGGCTCTGCAACCCGTTATTTAACACTGAAACCAGAGTAACTAGCCTTGAGTAAGAACTTTAAAAATGTTTACAAAATATTATAAAATATTCAGTTTTTCGTGTGTGTATATACACTTGCACGTACAGTAGTATACTATAGGTAGAGCTGCAAATTGGTTGGTGAATTGATGTAGTGATTTTAGTGTCGACATGGCTTAAGATTGCACC